CTTTTAATTATCCTGGTATTAAAAGTGTTCAAATGACCTTCTTTCCACGTCCTAGGTAGGAGGTTTTAATATTCGGCACTTTGCCACCATCAATCTTTGAAAAGGCTTGTCGGGGCTGTATCACTGAAACTTTTGATAACATTTGAGGGAGGGGATGAAACATTTTTCAATGCATCAAGATATGGACAAGAACATTTCACACACTACTGTGAAACATTAAAAATTTTCTTCATGTCAATTAGGACCTAATTTTGAGAACTGCAAAGGCAGAATTTAAAATTACATGAGGGCGGCAGTTTATAGTAAACACCCAATGTCCTGAGCCTTCTGGAAAATAATTTGGGCCATATCAGAACCTCATCAAGCAGGGTTAATAGACTATTCACCAAAAGATCTCCAGTTCCCCTCATATAAAGCAAAACTAACCACAAATCTCATTGCAACTTTTACATCTTAATCTGCCTTCATCAATTAGAATGACTGAATCCATGAATAATCGCACCTAGAGGGTTTTTCACTGGCACAGCAATCTCTACACAGTACCAAAGCAAAGTACAAGATCATAACCAAGTCATATAGTTCTAACATCATTAGCTACTGATTCAATGCCTCCAGATGTGTGCTGGATTGTGTGCCCCAAATGATATCAATGACTGAGAATCACATGAGTCTTAATTACAGGAAAAAGAATGTTGAAATATTGCACTGGGGTTCTGTCTCCTTGAGCCCCAGTCGGCCTCGGCAGATGGCCGCTCACACTGAGCCTGGTTCTGCTGGAGGTTTCTTCCTGTTAAAAGGGTGTTTTCGTCTCCACTGTTGCTACAAGCATGCTTGGTGTGAGGGATTGCCTTTGAGTCGATGAGTCGATGCAATCAAGTGGTTTTCCTTAAATAGAAATCTTTGAACCAGTCTGACTGTATGATATGACTGAATTGTCTCTTTAAAGCATTAAATGACCAATCTCCTCCTTATATTAAATATCTGATTGTTCCTTATGTCCCTAACAGAGCACTTCGTTCTCAATCTGCAGGTTTACTAGAGGTTCCTAGAATTTCTAAAAGTAGAATGGGAGGCAGATCTTTTAGTTATCAACTCCTTCCCTCTGGAACCAACAACAGTTTTAGCCCGTGAGGCAGACACCTAGATTACGTTTAGGGCAAGGCTTAAAACTTTCCTTATTGATTAAAGCTTCTAGTTAAAAACTAGTGATGTGTGCTTAGTCGCTGGGTAAGTAGAGGGGTAGGTAAAGGTAGAGGTTAATAGCCCGATTCAGCGGGAGAGAATTTCAGTCTGGAAAGACGTTTAATTCTCCTTGGCCACATTGTGGCTCTACCTTTCTTATACCTTATACAATATATTTAGGTTATCCTAAGCTATTTCTTGCAGTTGTGCTGCTATAGGCTTAGACTGCTGGAGGACACAGGGACCCCATTTAATCATCCCATCCCATTCAATCTCTAACTTATACTCTCTCTGCTTTTTCTCATCTTAGAAGCTTCATCTGATCTGTTCCTGTTTGGCTGTGGCTCCATCCTTGAGAGAAAATTTCAGCTGTGCTGCTCCCTTCAACGCCTTTGTTTATAGATGTTGGAGCTCCTTTTGGTTTAATGATTTAGCTGAACTGAGTTGAAATGGAAGCTTCCTAATGAGGATCTATTTGGAGTAACAGATTAAGAGATATTGGACTAATTCTTTACTTGGCAATAAGGTAGTATGGAGTGCAGAGTGCAGAGATCTACTAATAATCCTCAGTGCTGGGTTACTGGTCTTTTTGTTGTTTATTTTTTCTCAGGTTTTTAATTCCTATTTGTTAACTCTAAAAGCTAAAGCTTAACTGTATTGTTGGTGAGGGGGCATGTAATTTTATGTGCAGGAAAGGTCATGTCATATTAACAATCAGTATAATAACATCATAGCCTTGAAAGACTACATATTTATCAGTGATGTAGGTTTTTGTAAGTAATTTTGGTTGGCCAGATACTTTTGGGAAGGTTGCTTACTTTTAGAAAAGTGTTGCCTTTTTGAGAAATGCCTCTTACCAGCGTTCACTGGAATTCCACTCTTAAAAATAGCTTTGCAGAACTTGGCAAAATGATTGATATCATTGACTTGATTTCTCAGGTTTTTAAACATTTCCTTAGATCAAGACCTGATGCATTAACTGCATGATTTATTTTAAGGATTTTCTTAATTCTCTGGGGTTGAAATTAAGCCTAAGTATCTATGGGAAAGTTAGAAAAAAAAATAAAAAAGATCTAAAACAATTGTGTCTTATACAATTTTAGAAATGGGATTTCTTTTTAAATACATATATGTTTTTCTTTAAACAGCTGAAATTATCATTTGAAGACTGTATTTGTTTTTCACTGGCTTTCATTTATACAGAAAATTGTGGTATGATGGCAGATGAGCTAAAACATTCCAAGTATGACTAAAAAAGCTAAAATAAACCAAGTCTTTAAAAGAGAGCTGTCCTTTGCACTGTATTTGTAATATATATATTTAGATATAATTTGAATATAAATCCTAAAATATTATGCAATTAATTTATAGTTATTCTATATATCAATTGATTAAATTGTCAATATCCTCTTCAGATGACCATTGAACAACTACTGTGTCTTCAGTCAAAGACATCTCCAGATTCCATGCAAGACAAAATGCAAACGATCCTTTCTGCCCACAGCTATTGACAAACACAACTTATTCAGAAAAAACATTTGACTTTAGAAAACATATAATTTCCCGTTGGGGTCAATAAGATATTTTCTAACTTATTTGAATAGTTTCTGCAGAATTAATCCATTCTGATTGTTTTCTCTTCAAACTGTGATAAAAGCACAGACGATCCTTACTTCGTGTTACATCTTTTATCTCCATTTCAAATGTGCATGCAATGATTTCATCGTATATCAATGGACATGACCGATATCAGATGAAGTTTTACATGCTGTCTCTCATGTATGATTTATTGTGATTCTTCCCTATCGCTGTGGGTGACAGATTCCGCGTGTCAACCAGCTTGACTAAATATCTGCCACAGAAAGATTATCTGCTACAACTTGCAATGATGAGACCTCAAAGCAAGAGAAAGACAAATAAATAATTGTGAGCGCAGCATGATATACAACAGACAAAAGTAAGTCGGTTAAAATAAATGAACCCATCACAAGTTGTATATTTATAAGTCATTGTGTCGTGACCATGAAAGTCTTGCCGGATGTTGGTAACAACAAATGCAGTTACTGTATGCAGAGAAATAAATGATAGACAACCATAAATTCTTGGTGGAATAAAGGTGGAATGATTCAGCGATACGCAGGTGTAAAGATGTATGGAACATCATGACCCAATCTGAAATCTATGAGTTATTATAAAAGCCATAGAACCACTTAGAGTAAATTAATGTCTGCTATTTCGGTCTCAACTGATGGCCTTAAGTAACATACTTTATTACCAAGATGTCAAACCAGAAACATCTGATGTTGAGTAGAAGTAATGAGCTCTCTCAAGACCTTTGCAAGCTTAGTTACATAGATGTAAACTATACTGTTGAAAAGATTTGTTAAAGAAGATTTTGTTAATAACTGAAGACAGTAACGAGTAATTTGAGGTTAAACACTAGCGTTGGAAAAACAACAAAAGTTCCCAAAAAAAAGGCCAAGAGAAGGTGTTCTTTGCAAAATTTCACACAAGGGAGTCAATGGTGATGTCAATAGTGATACTGAAAATGGACTCTTAGGGGGCCATTATACCAACCATATTTGGAGCTTAAAGGGACTGTATATTGTGCCACAAACGTAATATAAAAAAGGAAGGTTTTGAGGTTGGAACATCATGGTGCTGGGCTGGTTTGTGGCATACGGCACTGGTAGACATCATATAAACAAAAGAAAAAGCTGAGTAGAAACATTTACCAAGAAGGACTTGATAAAATTGTGCTGCATTCTAAGGCAAGAAAATGTAAAAAAAAATACAATACAACAAAATCCCAAGCACACTTAAAGGATTTTCTCGAATTCTTTAAAAGAAATGCCCTCTCCACTTTAAATCGAAAATGCGCAAGTGAGAGCATGCACGAGCCCATTCCTCCTCCTGCACGCTCTGTTTAAATGTTGCCGTTCTCATAGCTCATACAAGCTTACTGTGTCCGAACTTCCGCCCTAACTCCTAAATCCCTCAGACACTATATAGAGCGGGGACCATATAGTTGACTTTATAGTGAACTCAGTTAAATGACTGATCGGACAGATCATCCACCGCACGGTGCCTGCGCTATCTTTGTTATTAGTTACCACTGTGAGGCAGCGACAGCCTATGGAGACAGCTCGCCGCTGTGACAAAAATCCCACAATGCTTTGCGAGGAGAGCTCACCGTGCAAATCATTTGGGGATATATCTGCCTCTTCTGTGGCCTTTCTTTTCTTCTCAGACACTTCGGAGACTTGTTTTCTCTTTCAATCGTCGGCCATTTTCAAAGAACCGCAGAGAGAAAGGAGAGCTTCCATAACCGTCTGAAACCGTAGCTAACCTCAGATATACGCCTGAAAGTGCGCATGCGCAGAAAAAGATAGCTAAGGGGATGATCACATGGGACGGCCTTATGTAAAGATATCGCTAGAATGATTGACAATTATTAGGACCACTTATTTAGATGATCCACCTGGAAATAAAGCTTTTCCTCTATACCTGGTTTTAAAGAGTGAAAAAAAAGTTGATAGTTTGGCACAAAAATCACCTAAAATGAAACCTAAAGAAGTCTTTTCCACAAACTAAAGCTCAGAGTTAATAGAGGTCCAATTAGGACTCATATAATTGTGATGGTCCAGTTTAGGCAAACTTCATCTTGTAGCAAACATTTCCTGAAATCATATCACATTTATCAATTTTTTGTAACTAGGCTATTTTTGTTTTACAATTTTTTTTATTTGGGACTGAGAACTGAATTAAAGAGCAGTTGTTGACTGTGTAACATTTCTTTATAACATGTGCTTACTGACCTGCTTTAACAGCCATAGGCTTCTCTAGAAGGAAGACCGTCTGCTTCCAGTGAGTCTTTGGAACCTGAGGACCTGTGGAAAATATCACCTAGCAAGAAAACAACAAAACCGAATTAAGAAAACCACCGTGAGCAACATTAAGCTCGTGGATGTAAAAATACATATGCTAAGACATACATTGATCCCAAAAACACAAATAAAGAGCCTATCACTAATATGTCATAGAACTAAGCATACTAATGTTGGTCAATCGTTTTTACAGTACTATGTTTTAAAATCACTTGCTGCTTGGACTGTGCAATAAATGAAACCTGAAAGCACTATATTTTGAAGTTAAAAGATATTACAAGGTTTTCACATTGTACGAGATTCAGCCCCCAGTGGAAACTGTAATTTACTGCTTCAGCCACTGCACGGGCCTCAGTTCCCAGGTACAATGAGACATGCAATCAAAAAGCACATCCATGTTGCTCACAGAGCCTTGCATCAGTTGTTCCAACTGGCCAGGCTCTGCTGGGTAAGTGCTTATATCAGCAGTTGGCTAAGACGCTTGTCGATTGCCAGTGAACGCCTCAGGGAGGAGAAACACACCAAAGCATGAACATAATTGAGTTTCTGTTAAATGGCTTGGAAGCTTCTGCTGCTACTGCTTACCTTGTTGCTGCAGCCTTTGTCGAAGAAAATGTCAAAGTAGCCAACGATTGCCTGCAATGAAATATGAGAGCTGTGTAAATTGAGGCTGTAAAATAAACCCCTGGATTTGTTTGACTACACAGCAGCAAACATACAGAGCTAAAAGGCCAGGTATTAAAAAGCACAAAAAGGAATAGGGAATAATTTTCATTGAACACATCTTTTTTTTTGTGCATTGTTGATTTGATGGAAATGTAATAATACTTACATGTTCAATGTGCTTACTACACAAAGTTTTGATTAAAAGCAACCTTTATTTCTTCTTTGTAGGAGTCTATCAATACACCACATTTTATATGGCAAATATTTGACCATCTAGCAAGGAAAAAGTATGAAAATATATCAGAATAAGGAAATATTGCGGAGAAACCCTACAGTTTCTTCTACGATTATGCCATCTTAACCTTTCCAGCAGAAAATCCAACATCTGGATTGTGAGCTTTGCAATCATATGAACAATGAGCTTATGCAAACTGCACACATAACTTTGCAATTGTGTTTTAATAAGATAAAAAATTGTGCAAACTAACATTTAAATATGAATCAGTAGCTTACAACGTACAGAACGTGCATTAATTCACTGTTGCATTTACAAGAACGTGACCTTTTGAAATTCCCTTATAAACATCATAACAGGATATAGTCAAGAGTTATTTGCATCAGTGGATATTTCCTGTCTGTCTACAGGAGAAAAAAACTGTTAACAAAGCTCTTACATTTTCTATTAAAGGCAGTTAAAAAGGCTTCTCTCTGAATATGTTGCAAACCTTCCAAACAGTAAACAGTAGGAAAAGAAATAAAAAATAAAAAAAGTAAAAAAAAAAAGAGCAAAAAAATTAAAAATACATACACACACACTTGTCTTGCTAATAGTAGTGATGACCATCTATTGACCCCCATTGATCTTCTGTCATTTTCAACCTTTTCTATGTCCTAACCCTAAAAATAACCCTAACCCTTACCAGTGCATATTTTACCTCGACTCTAGCCCCAACCAAACTGACACCTTAGCCTGAAAAGTTAACAAAACGGCTCATGAGGACCAGCCTAAATGTCCTAACGTTGTAAAAATATCCTAACACTAAAGGTAACAAACTGAAACTGGTTCTAACTCTCATTCTAACAGGAGGAAGCCCACACATATATGTATATATAATAATAGTTGATCAAATATAGGAATTCAAGAGCAATAACTGAATCAGAAGGCGCTTTGACAAAGTAGTAGTCACAGGTATGCAAACTTATCCTTCCAGGTTACTGCACCTTTCTTAGATTTTACATGTTTCTTTTTCCCTGTTTGTGTGTTTTAGAATCTCTGTATTTGATATACAGTATGTCAAATTAAAGCTGGAAAAGAATATGAGACTATTTATGGCATCACCATTACAGAATTATTTCTATAAATGAAATCCTAACATTTTAGCAGAGGTGTTTGCAACTTTTAATTTCACCTTAACTACAGATGTTGCAGGCAACTAAATGACCCAACCTATTAAAGATACTGTAGGCATGGTTCATCAAACCTCATTTCTGAAAATGCTCATTCTGTTACCTCTTTTACTATTCAAGCTGAGTCTGCAAAATGTTCCATGAGCTTTCCTTCACCTCATCTGGCACTTGTCACTGGACAACAGAAATAAATTATGAGGCAGCCACCAACAACACTGAGGGCATTTCTGCTGATTATAGAAAAATAATAATAACACAGCTTGCTGCAGTTAAAAAAAAAATTAGCAAAGGTGGCAATTTTGGTGAGAATGTTGCAATAATATAAAAATAAACCCCAAGAGAGAACGAGAAATTTGTTATAAGAAAAACAAACACTGTAGATATGTTTGCCACAGTGAAGTATATCTAGATAGGATAAACCGTATTAGTGTGAGATTCAGGGATAGACACAAGTCTAAACCAACCTGGTAATCTATCTGGGCTCTGATCCTATTAGGTACCATAAATTACAGATTTATTTACATTTAAACTAGACAATTCAAGGTAAGGACTAAAAACCTAAATATACTGATATAATCAAATTATAGCCGGTGCAGAGGTTTAAAAGCATCTTGAAGGTATTTCATACATCTAAAGTTGATTGAGGTTAAGTCCAAGGCCAGAGTGCCTTTAGGTGACAACAATAGCCAGATTTGTAGAAAAAAAACAACACCCCCAGGCTTGTTTTTCTCCCATATATGCCCCCCCTAATAGAGAAAAGCCACTCTATCAATCTCAAGAGCACACTTGTAGTGGCAATGATGCAGAACTAATAGCTTTTAATCCTGACGCAGCTGACAACTTGGAGGCCAGCTCTCCAACACAAAGAAGAACTGGATCAATGGAAGGAAGGAAGAGAGCTGACAATGAGACAGATAGGGGGAGAAGTGGACAGAAACAAGCAAAAAAAGAAAAGAAGATCTGAAAAGAAACTGGGTTTGGGAATAAAAGAACTGTAACATAATGTACATCTAATGTAAAACCTGGATGTTTAAACAATTTGCAGAACATGAAGAAAGAAACTTCCATAAAATCTACAAAGAGCTTCTAAAAAAAACTATCTTGGGAGGCATAATGGATATGTTAGGATTACAGGAAAAAGTTGTGCAACCTCAGTGTCACCAGAAGCAGTGTCCAATACCCCACCCTCTGAAACACCAAACGCTTCAATCAACCTATATTGACTGAGACAAGCAGGGCCAGCACAGCTAGCTTACAGCTAAACTGCTAGAAAAGAAGCCAAAGTGGATGAAAGAGCATGTCAACCCAATGCAATTATGGTTTTTAATGAACACTACAGAGAAGCTCGTTGCAGAGGTAATTAGGAAATTAGCGTTAATTACTCATTAGGCTGAACAGATTCACCTCTCTCAGTCAGAAAGACAGAGATCATCCTCAACGTGCCTCGCTGATGACAAGGCCTCGTAAGAGAGATTGATTGTCACTTCTTCGTTGTGTAACTTTCACCAGACAGCCGGGATGGACAATTATAATTTGAGCCGTAGAGTGAAACTTGCAAATATAAAACAGACTAAGCAGTTTGGCAACTTGACACTTCATTAAAATCACACTTGAAAAGGAGAATTAAAAAAAAGAAATAAATGTAACGGCCAGAGATATTACACAGATGTGAAAGTGTTCAGAAAAGCCATTAAATACATTGATGACTCACACACTGTACTGAAGGATTGTCCTAGATCTAACCAATCAGAGCCATTTCAATCTTGACTAGAGACGATTTTAAGTAGACAATGAAATGATCGACTTGCAACAGCTAATAAATTGTGGAAAGATTCTAATCTCAAAACTGATAGTAGTATCTCTTACATGCATACCAAGAAAACAAAGAGGTAACAGTAGTTTGACAGGTTTAATCTCCAAGAAAGTTAAATAACTATAATGGTCCTGGCAGGAAACATTTCAGATTAAAAAAAAAAAAAACTTTTTTTAAAGGGGGAAATCAATCTAAAGGTTCCATATGGAGTTAGAAAGGGGTCAAAATGTTTGCAAACTTTTAATCTTATTTGAAAGTAAAAAAATAAAAGTTTAAACAGAAACTATAGAAGTTGATATTGAATGTCAAATTTTTACCTAGTAATATGAAAAACTAAAAAAGTAAACATAAAATAATAAGTATTGAATCTAAAAAATGAATAATTCAGTTTAGTATTTTATTTAGCCTTTTTCCTCTTTTTATTCAATTTCTTTATCACAGTTTTAGATTTTATTGTCAGATTCAAATCCATTTATTTCAGTTTATTTTTTTATTTTTAGTTTCAAATTCCTGTTTCAGTATCAGGATTTTTTTTTTTTTACACTTTCAAATCACATTTTTTCACATTCAGATTTTGACCCCAATCTGACCAGAGTGGGCGGGGAAACATAATGATTGACAGCTTGCAGCAGCCCTGGACAGATGTCCTGTTCCATGTTGCATTCATGGACTGTGGGAACTCCAACTACTTGGTGACCACATTCTCTGCAGCATTTATATATTGCCTTTTTGGTAAAGTCCAATGAAAAATACTATGTTAAAGACTGTACTATTGACTTTTTATTTTTATTTAATTGGATAACAAATACAGGCCTTATATGGTATACAAGATATTGGAATTTGAACCAGATTAATTCAGATTTATTTAACCCTATAAGTACAAATCATTAAAAAAGTTATTTCTGATAAAGGTTGCTAAAGTTTTAAATTCAACGAAGAGCATCTTAAACTAATCTTTTTGGTACATTTAATGAGCATTAATTTCATTTCAGCTTGTTGGTTAAGAAACAGAAGCCATGTAAAGGGTACATTGCTGTAAATTTGAGAAACAATCGGCTTTATTTCTTGTTAATACATTTTATCCGTGTTCGATCAGACTATCTCTACACATTACAGTCCCTTTTTTTCAGTCATATGCTTAGTGTAACTTGTATAGAGTTGGGCTTCTAACCTGCATTTGGCTCCACATTTCTCAAAAACTATTCTAAATAAAACAGTCTATTCACTGGATATTTAAACTGAATAAAACAGTTATCAATGTTCTGTTTAAAATGTCTCACATGACAGTATGAATTGTTACTTGTAGTTGATAGGAAAAGTGTGAGAAAGAAGAAATGAAAGGAAATCTTGAAGTGTAGAAAGGCAAACGCAGCAAAAAGGACAAATCAGAATGAATGCATTTCATTTTCATCAGTGTTTAGCCTTGGGCCTACTCTCTCTCCGTGTTAAAGGATGGCAGCAGGTTTCCTGACGGCCCACAGAGGAGGATCAGAGATGCAGCAGCTCTACGGCCCCCATTCTCAGGGAAGAGCGAGGAGAAAATTAATAATTATCATCATGGATAACACCAACAGGGAGCAATTCATCATTTCTCTCCTACTACCCGACTACATGTCAGTGCGCTGCGTGGCCTGGCCAGATACTATTATACGACGGCAGAGGGGGAGGGTGTAGAAAAGGAGGTGGGGGAGTTAAGTAGAGAGAGAAGGAGGGGCAATGAGGTGGAGGGGAGGGAATGGGCGGGAGGAAA